AGGGGGGCCCGGGCTGGAGCAGGGGACACAGCGAGGTGCTCTGGATGCAGTGAGGATCCCCTGGAGCTGGTGCAGCCTCCAAGGTCACTGGGAGAGCCCAGTCGAGGGCTGTGGGAGCAGTGCCATGATCTGGGGCTGTGTGGGCCACTCGGGCTGGGGTGTCTCTGATTCCCAGCACTGGGAGCCTGCCCAAGGTCGGCCGAGGTGACTGGAGATGAACTCGGCTGCCATGTGAGAGCCCTGGCTCTGTGGTTTCAGGGTGGGTTCAGCCCTGAGCTTTTGACTCCCACTGCAGCCTGGCAGTCCCTGGGACCCCAGCGCTGCTGCAGCAAATCCTCAGGGCAGCCTGGCACTGCACTGCAGGGCCGGCAGAGCCCCGGGGGTGGAGTGGATGCATCTCTGCAGCCTCGGGCTCAGGACACCCACTCTGTTTGATTTAGGGTAGTTCGGGGGTGCTGGTGCTCCAGACACGCTGTGCCCACTTCTCCTGCTGGGCTGGGCCCTTGTCCTGGCTCGTGGGAGCCCTGTGTGGGATGCTCAGGGTGGCATCCCTGGGGAGCAGCCATGGGGAGCTCCTGGGCTGCTGGCAGAGCATCCTGGCTGTGTCAGGCTGTGCCCCACAGCAGTGATTGGTGTCTTGGGGGGCCCTGAGCAGTGACTGCTGCCTGTGGCTGCTGTGAGCTGGGCTGGTGACGTGAGGCTGCACTTGGCACCCGGGGGCTCCTTGCAGGGAGCTGTGGTGTGTGTGGCCAAGCTGCTGGTGCTGAGTCACGGCCACGCCATGTCCAGCCAGCCCCTCCTGCCCACAGACAGACCCCCACGCACCCCTCACCTCCTGTCCTGAGACGGGGCAGCCCAGGGAACCCCAGAACACTCCCTGTACTTGCCATTGTCCCATTCCAACCGCAGGTTTAGGGCTGGGAAGGAAACTAAAGTCAGCGTGCATCCTCTCTGTCACCCTGCCATGGCTGTGCTGGGCATGGGAAGCCCCCACAGTCCCCTCAGACTGTCAAGACTCTGAGTTCTCAGCTGAATCCCTCCTCCCATGGGCAGAGGCACCTCCAGCATTCCCAGTCCAGAGCTGCTGGGTGGGGAGGGGCCCAGAGTCCTGTGTCCTTCTCCTGGCTCTGCAAACAAAATGGGCAGGGGCATGGGGGTGTGGGAGGTGGGTCCCCACCTACACTGACTTTATGTGCACCAGCTGAAACACTGCTCTGGCACCTGGACAGATATGGGGGTGTGGAGTTTGGGGGTCATGGAGGATGCAGGAGAATGAGTTGGTGCATCCTGACCCAGCACAGCAGCAGCATGAACCCCTGCCAAGCCAAGAGC